TCCTCCTCCTCCTCCTCCTCCTTCTTCTTCTTCTTCTCCTCCTCCTCCTCCACCTACTCCACTTTCTTCACACCCTTTCTCTTTCTCCCCCCCCCATCCTCCCCAATCTCAACAGCCATAAAGACGAAAAGCTTTCACGAACATCTCCAGTTTTCTGTCTCAGAAAGGCACAACTGCAACACCGACGTGCCTTACAATGACCCGAGATGTCGTGCACTTGGTCAACCAGTTCAAAAAGAGACTATTGCACTTTACTTAGCTTTAGTTTTAGTAAGAGTTTTACGGCTATTTTAACTCAGTAAGGTCACATAAGTCTCTAAAGATTAGACATAGGTGTTGCAAGAAAGTAACAAACACGAAAAAAGAGGAGAGATAATAAGGACTGCAGACGTTCGATAAGAAAGAAAGAGCAAACTGGAACAGAGCACCCGCCAACCGCTCAGACACTAACTCACACCACAAAACAAGTAACGGACATAAATAGAACGGCCTGTAACAAAAATATTTTAAAAAATAACCTGACAGAAAAAATAGCTTTGTTTGGTGAAGTAAAGAGACACACATCGACATAATAAAAAGTGAAAATGATGAAATGATATAGGTTCAACGCCCCTATGAACATTGTTAGGTTATTTAAGAGGCGGTACCTCCGAGTTTAACGTCCATCTCAGAAAGGACGGAGCCAAGTGGGAAATTCATGTAAAGTGCATTTTCCGAAGACACGAGGTCGGACCAAGTGGAGGCTCGAACCCCCCGAATCCGCAATCACAATGATTAGTAAGACAAAAACATCAAAGGGAAAACAAAGAAGCAGACCCTAACAGTGGCACCATCAAACCTTCTGCAGAAAATGACCTAGACAATTATTCGCTACTTCAGAACTGCACAAAGTTCTATCGGACTTTTTTGGTCGTTTAAGTTGCTGAGACAATGAGGTCAGAAAAATCAAGTGGAAAATAAAGACATAGGACCTACAAGTGGCGCTCTCCAAATATCCGCAAAAAATGATTTAGACAATTACAAATTACTATGGCTGAGACAAATATTCTTTTTTCTGTTACAGTGTATGGTGCATAGCTGGTACCTGGCGAATGACATGCAGTTCTACTTGCTCAGCCCTCTCCTGTTTGTTCCATTCTACTAGTGAGTCTGTTCGTTCCATTATACTAGGGGCATGCCAAAAGTTTGTTACCTGACCATGAAGGAGTAAAGGAAGAAAGCTGAAATTCAGTATTAACCTTAATCTTTCTCTATGTAGTCGCCTCCCACAGTTATACATTTTTGCCATCCGTGTATGACCTTGAAAAGACCTTGAGAATAGAAGACCCTCTCTTTGTCAGAAAACCAGCCCTCTACTGCTTATTTGACCTCACCAACCTTTTCAAAACGACTTTCTGTTAAACCATTTTTCAGTTTGGGGAATAAAAAAAGGTAGGACGGGGCTAAATCTGGGGAATAGGGTGAATGTGGCATAATTGCAGCTTTTCTTGAAATGTGTGCTGGCGCGTTGTCGCGAAGCAGAAAAATGCCTTTTCAGATCTCTCGTCTGCGTTTTCCTTTTATAGCCTCTCGTAATTTTTTTTTAGCTGGTTAGAATAATGGTCTCTGGTGATTGTATGTCCATTTTCAAGATAGTCTGTCATAACTACTCCTTTTTAGTCCAAAAAAGCGGATAGCATCATTTTTCCACTTGACGGCTGCACCTTTACCTTCATTGCTGTTGGGGACGAGGGCGCTTTCCACTGCACTGATGCAGATTTTGACTCAGGATCGTAGTGGTGGAACCATGTCTTATCCAAGGTTACACGTCTTTCAGAATATTTCGTTTCATCCTTTACATACAGATCAGGCAATTCTTGAGAACAAACCGCGAAGCACTTTTTGAGGAAGAGTCAACATCGTGGGACCCGTCTCGCCGAAACGTTGGTCATGTTCAAACGTTCATTTAAGATTCATTCAGCTGATCCAATGCTAAGCCTAGTTTCTTTGCTCACTTGTTCGACTGTCACCCGACTATCAGACAACAGTAGTTGTTTTTATTAATTTTCAACACATTATCTTCTGTTGTTGATGTGACTAAACGACCATCACTGTGGTCATCTTCAATGTCCATGAATCCGCATTTGAATTTTTTACACCAAAATTTTATAACAGCATAGGAAGAGCAATCCGTTCCATATACGGCATGCATCTAAGTAAAAATTTCCTGTAGTTGCTTGCGTTGCAAGAACAAAAACTTCGTTACTACCCTGTGCTCAATTTTCTCCCATTTTATGTTGAAACTGGAGAACAACTCAACCCCATTCACTTACAGTGCGCTGGTGTTAAAACCAGAGATTGGAAATTCACCAAAATTGACATGCATTCTTGGAAGATGATTTTTGGCTTTCACGCGAAATTTCAGCTTTTTATCTTTATTCCTTCATGGTGAGGTTTGAAACTTTTGGTATGCCCCTCGCACTGGTGAGTCTGTTCATTTTTACTAGTCAGTCTGTTTGTTCTATTCTACTAGTGAGTTTGTTTGTTCTATTCTACTAGCGAATTTGTTTGTTCTATTCTACTAATGAATTTGTTTGTTCTATTCTACTAGTGAATTTGTTTGTTCTATTCTATTAGTGAGCCTGTTTGTTCTATTCTATTAGTGAATTTGTTTGTTCTATTCTACTAGTGAATTTGTTTGTTCTATTCTACTAGTGAGTTTGTTTGTTCTAGTTGTTCTCTTCTACTAGTGAGTTTGTTTGTTCCATTATACTAGTGAGTCTGTTCTAGTGAGTACCTCAGAATAATGTTTCAATCTTTCACATCACCCCCGCCCACGCCCACCCCCACCCATGTGGGCTTATGATGTTGTGTTTTGTTTGAATTGTTCGGGGGGAGGGGGCGGTTTTTTGTGTGTGTTTTTTTCCAACAGATAGAGTACTGTTCCTGGAGCTAGAATAACAGTGTATTAGATAAAAAATATGCAGTGATCTTTTATAACTTGATATATTTTAGGGTTAGAACTGTTCAACTCACTGCCTCTCTCTTCCCCTTTTTTAAAAATCAACCCTACCCCCCTTTTAACTAAACCAGAACTATTTCATCGATTCTTCTCTCCTCTTCTTCCCCCTCCCCTCCCCCCACCTGTAGCAATATGTACGCAGGCCTGGCAGTGTGTGGGACGGTTCTGTTGTCCAGCTGGATAGTTACTGGTGTCCTCAGCTGGAACAGAGGTTGGGTGGCTTCAGACTTTGCCATGGTGTGAGTGGTTTTGTTGTTGTTTTAAACACTAGTTTGGTTTTTAAAAAAATCTAAAACCATTTTTTTTGGTTGCCTTTTTTGGTTTGCTTTATTGTTGTTGTTTTGATACTTGTGGGTTGTTATTTTTTTTCCTCGCTTTTCTTTTGTTTTGTTTTTTAAGTTATTTTGTAAGCATTTTACGTCACTCTTCCACGCTGTTGTTGTTGTTGCTGTTGTTGTTGTTGCTGTTGTTGTTGTTGCTGTTGTTGTTGTTGTTGTTGTTGTTGTTGCTGCTGTTGTTGTTACTGTTGTTTGAGTTGTCGTTTTGGGAATTAAAGTGGTATTTGTTTGATAAACGTTTTTTGTCACTTACAGTCCAAGTAAATCACAGTTGCCTTTTTTTTTCTTTTTTTTTTTGGCTTAAAAAATTATTTAGTATGCGTTTTCCTTCACTTATAACAAAAGAAGATCGCATATGTGCGGAAGGTAAAATGCGTTTCGAGAGGGTAGAGCACAATATGTACACAGATACAAAATGTGGGGGGGGGGGGTAATAAACATAATTATTATAATATGTTTGTTCAGTTTAGTTTTAGTAAGGTTTTATGGCGCTTACAACTGCATAATAAGGTCATATGAGCGCCAAGGGGTGGGTGTGAACAGACAAGTCCAAACGGGGAATCAGGCTTACTCTGCTCAGCTCTCTAGCCCCAACAGCACAAAGTCTGCTTCGACTATCAAGACACCACGGCAGTTTACAAGAGAGTGACAAACCTACAAAAGAAGTAGTGGAAAACTGAACGTAAACCCTATGTTGTTCAGGCACAGTATGATCATGGCATTAATAAATCAGCCCATTTACATTTCTGCTGTGCATAAGAACATGTTAATATCCCCCCTTTGGGAATGGCCTAAAGACAACTTCAGTCAGTTTAGCACTGCCCTGGTTTGGGGGTTGGGGTATAACAATCATGTTTAATAACAAAGAAGGAGCAGGCCGCTCTAGATCACCCACCAACCTTCAGGGTGTATATTGTACCCACCTGCTTTCCTCAGTTTCACCCACCCACAACTGGACAGAGGTATTGGCTACTACATGGCTCCCTACACCAGAGTAGGACCCTTCGTCATCGGAATTTTGGCCGGCTACCTCATGGCGCGACACGGCGGCCGGATCGCCATGAAGTGGGTATGGCCTGCCCCTTCTTTACTCTGACAGCTTCATGTTTTACGCTTCGTTCAGTTTAGTTTTGTTTTGGGTAGAAGTTACAGCACTTGCAACACAAATTATAGGTCACTAATAGCCTGGTGTTTTACGCTTAAATTAGTTTAGTTTAGTTTAAGTAAGAGTTTTAGGCACTTGAAACATCTTCGGCACCTATATGACCTAATTGTGTCGCAAGTCCTGTAAATCTCTTACGAAAACAACAATTTGCAACATCTTTCGTCCTTATCTCTCCTCCATCTTTTGTGTTTGTTACCCTCTTGTAACACCTCTAATCTTCGGCACCAATATGACCTAATTGCATTGCAAGTAATGTAAATTGTTTACAAAAACAAAAGCACTTGCAACACAAATAAGTCACATAAGTGCCCAAGATTAGAGGTGCTACTAGGGAGTAGCATACAAAGAAAAGGAGGAGAGATCAGGACGACAGATGTTTGATACAAAAGAAGAGGTTTTACGCTCCCATCGACGTAACACCCCCCCAAACCCCCCCCCCAAAAAAAAACCCAACAACAACATATATATATATATAATAATGTATATTTAACAAAAACCTTCCCCCTCCTCCGATTGCCCTCATTTGTCTAAAATTGAGTTGAGAAATAGAGTGATCTACGCAATAAACCAGAAATACTTCACAGCACACAATTTCATATTTATTTACAATACAAGTCAATGGGATGGGCTAGTTCGGATGAGGTGCGGCGTGGTGCGACAAACTTACAAAAGAAATGAGGCATTCTTTGCGGGACAAGCCTTGATAATAATACATTCCTTGTCTTTATGCGACATGAGTGTACCGTGCACATAATATGTGTGGCAGCGTGCTGGAATCAGACTCTCGTCAAAATAATCAAAGTGAAGAAACTTGCATTTTTTCGCCGGTTTGTGACTTTTTATCAAATTTTTCTTTTTTTGGCTCAACACCTTTCATGTCCATTAAAGAACGCATATTTGTGTGGATTTTTCTGAAAAACGAGGACTAACGGCAGACAAAAAAAAGTAAATTTTCAGTTACCACGGACTCTTAATCTAAGGAAATAACTAATCTTTGGCGACCATTTTCTCACTAATTTTACCTCTGAAAACAGGTGATCCCACCTCCTTCATTTGCTAATATCTCGACTTCTGTTCAAGATAAATGAATATTTTTTTCATCAAAATAAAGACAGTAATAAACAAGCTTTAAGATGATATCAATATCTCTAAATGCCCAAAAATTGACGAGAGTCTGATTCCACCACGTTGCCTCACATATTATTGGCAGTACGTAAGAGAAATAGCAATCGAGATGGGTGCCTGGGTTGTTGCTATTCCAACGGGCTTTTGGTTACTGATGTCCTTTCTTTTTTTACATTAAACTTTTCTTTCCTCTATATAGAAGATCCAGATCTACAAACAGAGATGCTATTTTTTGGTTGTTTTTTTCTCACTGATGTGTATTGTTTTCTTTCCAAATACACAACAAATTACTGATACATGTACTGATATGTTCTATTTTCAATTTTTCTGTTCGTAAAACATGAAAATCATAAAAATTATTGTTGAAAAAGTGCAAAACATGTCGCGAATGGTGTTACGGTTACTTGCATAATTTTTGCATAATTTTTATTTTTTTTGCATAATTTGGCCATCTGAATTTGCATAATTCTACGGAGAGTTTCCACAGGAAAGCAGTAAGATTATCTTAACTCCAAGTCGAGATGACATTACCGTTGTCGTATATGTTGCACAGTTGTTGTAATATACTTTGAAGTCCTTTATGTATTTTGTTGCCCATTCTACATCGGCAGTACGTGGTGGTCGTTGGCTGGGCCGTTGCCGTGGCAACTTGCCTTGCGGTTGTTTACGGTATCCATGGCGACATAACTGCTAAGGACCCCAGCTCCACAGAAGTTGCCGCTCTCTACAACACTTTGTCCAGGTCGGCATGGTCTGTCGCCATCAGCTGGGTCGTCATTGCCTGTGCTTCGGGATACGGAGGTGAGAAGTCCGTTGTTGCTGTCCCCACGGTTTTAAACCCCCCAAAAAATCTGAAATTATGCAAACTGAGCCCAAAAATGTGAAATTATGCGATTCTGTTAATTTTTTTTACAAAGAATGAGAAGGGAAAATAATCAGATATTATGCAAAAAAATGATCAAATGTTGCTAAATTATGCGGGGTGCATAAAACCCCGGGGACAGCTGTAGGCTAAATGATTATTCACCGGCATCGACACAGTTTAGATATACTTCTGTTATTATAATAATATTGTGTTGTAGAGCCTTTTTTGTATTTTTTAAGTCAAAGTTTTATGGCACTTGAAACACAATTAGATCGTATAAGTGCCGAAGATTAGAGGTGTTACAAGAGAGGAACAAACGCACAAAAGGAGGAGATATAATAATATAGACGACGACATATGTTTGATAGGAAAGAAGAAGCAAACCACAGCCTGACACCAGAGCACCCGCCAACCACCCACGTAGTAGAGAGAGTCTGTCTTTCGGTTGCAGGAAGAATCAGCCACCTACGACACGGCTTACGAGAGACCTGCATGGGTGGTTGTCGGGAGCTCTAGTGTTGTTTCCTTTTTCTTTCCCATCAAACATCTACCTGTCCTTATCTCTCCTCATTCTATCCTAAAGTTGTTTCTCTAACCAGCATCTCCAAGCCTCGGCACTTTTACAATTTGTGATTCAATTGCCGTGAAACTACACTGACTAAATCTGCTACTAAAAAGCCACCAGTTAACGTTATAAAACTGTCGAAGACCATTTGCCACAGACTTAAAGAGTCTTTGTAATCATTATGATATTATGCATAATGTAGTTGTAGTAGTTTTACTCCCCCCCCCCCCAATTAGCAGAGTTTGGATAATAACGTATTTGTTCTTAACAATTAAATTTTAATACGGAGAACATAATTCCGAAAATAAATTTTAATAGTATATTGGACTGTTAAAATTTTAAAAAAATAAAACAGTCCTTATTTTCCTTTTCCGTTTACTCCCCTTTTGTGTTTTAGCTATTTCCCTGGCCCCTGTAAAATTGTTACAACTGGTTACAACCTTTTCTGACTTAAACGACTTTTTAAATAGTAGAGAAATGACTTATCCCCCAGGTCCTGTGAACTGGCTACTGTCGTTGAAACCGTTGATCGTGCTGAGTCGTCTGTCCTATCTCGGCTACCTGATCCACCCGTACATCATGTACATCTACTTTGGCAACCAGGGAACTCCTTTCATGTTTACAGACTCCAACATGGTAGTTTTATTCTTTTTTTTTTTGTCTTTGTTTAGTTTCGTTCCTCGGGGGGGGGGGGGATTGTCTGTTTCTTAAGCAAACAAAAACAAAAAGCTGCAATATCCCGAGCTTCTCCCATCCCCGATCTGTGTAGGTTCTCTAAGTAAGTTGCTCTGGGTTTACCCCAGCCTCGTTTACCTTCAATTTGTGCCTGTGAGAGCTAGATATTCGAGGCCTTTATTTCCATATATATATATATATATATATATATATATATATATATATATATATATATATATATATATATATATATATATATATATCAAGTATCATGGGTGAAAGTGACAAGAGACGGTTTAGCCTGAAAAGTTCATGGTAAGTTCACGCGGCCTGAAGGATGGGTTACGCTTCTCAATTTTCCAGGGGCATGTTACATAACAATGACAACACATGCTCTATTGAAATATAATACACACAAACACACACACAAACAAGTACGTATCCCACATTTGATAATATGTATCCAGTTGACAAAATTTCCAGTGAGGAACTGGAGTCTTGTGTGACTTACGTATGTCAGTCTGTTCTGACTTGTTAGATATTTACTTATTTATATTTTCCCCTCATCATTTTATATGTAATATATGAACTATATTATACAAATGAATCCTGCTTTGAGCCTGTGAAAGGGCCTAGAACCAGAAAATCGACTGTCAAGAACCAGTCTTGGTATCATGATTCATATCATAAAATGAAAGACAAAAATTATTGCTCAAACTCAAAGTAGAGTAAAAACTTAAACAGCTCAAGTATACCTAATCAGTCCAAGAGTTGTAACAACTGAGAGAGGTCAAGATGCAGTAACACTGAAAATCAGCCAGTTTTGAACAGAAAACTAAAAAAAATATGGTTACATTATAATTTACTATCCCCTATCCACATCCAATGAAACTCAAACACTTTAGTTCATCAATAACAAGGCTTACAAGATATGACGGATCCCGATTCCACACACGGCCAGCACCAAAGCGCGCTTTGTAGAGAGCTCGAATAAAATATTTTAAAAATAAAATGTGCTTCCAAGTTTGTTGTCCTCTGGTGTTGCTTTCTGCACCCTCCCCACCCAGGGTATCTTTAAAAAAACAATCAATAATATAATTCTCTCCCCCCCCCCCTTCCGAGTCCTATGCTTCCAAACGCTAGACTTCGAATGAACTTTGGCGACCCTAACTACCGTAGATGCTCACAGTCACAGGATTCCGTATCATGCGACGAGAACGCGCGCAGGTTCAATGACCGGTCACAATGAGGAGCCCAACAAGCTGACAATCGGACGACGCTTTTCTTTCTTTTTTCACAAGTGACGGCACAGATACAAAATTTGATTTATTTTCATGGCGACACAGCGTTTATAGTGGCCGACCTGTATACTGTATGTCACAAATGTTGCGTTACTAGTCTATCACCGGCAAAGTTCTGGGTGGTAACGAAAGCGAAAGTAATCTTGATATTCCCGATCCAGCGACGGTGTCACACGCTTCTGCAATCTGCATGCCGCCATAGCTGCCTGTTCGGGTAACACGTACTGTCGGACCGGGAAAAGCAGAACCAATATCACAATCGCGACCGGCAAAAATTAACTAACTGACCATATCGGAATTTGTTTTCAAATATTCCAGAACTTTTAAGATTTTCCCGAGTCTTCCCGACTTTTTCCCCGGGTAAATTACAGATTTCCTCAAATTCCCGGGTCTCGGCGATTTTTATCAAATTCCTGTCACGTCGCCGGCTATAGAAGACTTTCCGGGCCACTGTAGCCGGAGGATGGCCTACGGATGAGTTCAAGTAGCCGGAAATTCCGGCAGGAGCCGGAAAAATTTCACCCCTGTCAAGTATCCCATAAACTTCATTTGTCTTTTCCTGATTGTTTTAACCCATTCATAACTTATATGACACACGCCGTTGGTCACTTTTTCTTACACGCCAAACGAGCCAAAATGTACGGCGCTCGCCTTGCCTTGCGAAGCGCGAGGACCATGATGACGTATGTCGTACGTCATAGGTTGTTTTCTGCATGGTGATCCTATAGTATTAAAAGCATTTCGTAAAACTAATTGCAGATTCTCATTCGGGAACATTTTTTTTTTTTTTCCGTACAGAGAAATCTTTTCATTTTAGAAAAAGTTCGTACAATGGAGTCCATTTTTAACGTCCTGAATTAATGAGAAGTCTGTTATAAAGACACTATTCTAAAACCCCGGGGTTTTTTTCTTTCTTCTTTATATAATTTATAAATAAGATACCTCTATAGCCTAGCATCTCGCGACCCGCGAATCGCGGCCGCGATTTTTGACATTTTTTGGTCCGAGAATCGCGGCCGCGATTTTTGCACTTTTCAACATAAAAAGCTATTTCATAAACAATATTAGACATATATTTTGATAATTTTAAGGTGTCCATGTATGGTTATTTTCATGGGAAGAATGTAGGAAAATTTTCCTCTGGGATAATAAAGCACTATCTTATCTTATCTCATCTTATCTTATCTTATCTTAGGTACATTACATACTATAATATATTATTGTTTGTCTTTTATTTTTCCTTATTTGCTGTGTTTTAATTTGTTGGTGTGTTAACTTTTTAAAAATTGTTCTGTGTTGTTTTTTTCCCTTTTTTTTCTGGTGTATACCCATTGTATAGCAAAACATCATTTAAGGTGATGTTGTTCCTACATTTAAAAAAAAAATGAGTTAGGCCTACGTTAGAGCATGTCTCCACTCAGAGCCGAATGCTGACACTGGCAGGCCCCTTGTGTGTGGTTCCATAATTCACATGCTAATATCCTGCACTTTTTCTTGAATTTCACACGCTTAGTGTTAAAGCGGCCAATCTTCGGAAGGGTGGACACACGCCCTTATTTGTTATTTTTTGTGGTTGTTTATGCGCTGTTCTAATTTTGATTTAATTTTCATTCTGTTGTGAAACCTTTGTTTTTCACGTTTTTAAACTGTGCCGTGTGGCTACAAATGATATTCTAGATACCTAAAATAGAGCACAAGAAATTCTGGAGCTTTAGATTAAGTTACCTCCATCAACATACTACTATATACGTCGTCACAGAGAATTGAAAGCTTGAAAATTAATGGCAACTTTTATGGCAACTTTTATGGCAACTTTTGCCATTTTTGTGGCAACTTTTGGACCAAAAAAAAAATGGCAACAAACGCAGATGTTAGTATAGCGCAATTAGACAAACACGCGATTCGGTTATCGTGGAATATTGCTTATGCTGTGCACAACGCATAGCACAATTAAACATATAATGTAAAACCTCGCCAGTTGAGAAATTTGTTGGTGATCTAGCGAAACAAAGAATGGGAGAGTTCACGTGTGCGAACAATGAAGGCCGGAGCGAATGAGTGAGGAGGGTGTGGCATGCGCAGACGAGCAGAACGCATCGCATGATAGGCCAAGCCTAGTCTCGATTATCTAGGCCTACCGTACTTCTCACTTTTCTGATGCGGGGATGGAGAGGTCACAGTCACAGTACTATGATGGATGGATCGAATGTATGACGTGGGCAGGGTGTGATGTGTACCCATATGCGCAAGCAGACGGAACGCATCGCAAGGTGTGGTGGGGGACAACACAGCGGACGAGTTAACCTAGAACCCTTTCTTTCTGAACGCCAACGCAGAGCTGTCAACCTTATTCGATTTTTGATCAAGCAAGACCAAAAGGTCATGTCATTGTGGAACAAAATCACAATCAGGGGAAAATTAAAAGAAATAAACGGAACACCAAGCTCATCGATTAGGCCTGCTTTATTATTTCCCTTGAATGTATAAATGGATCCCTAACTAATAGCGTGAATAATGCTATGACGGATATTTGGCACCAGTCCTTTCACTCTCGTTATAACAGGATTCTACTGTAGTACATATATTTGCAAACCGGGTATAACTATAAGAAACTGACCACTAAATCTAGCGCTTCTCTGTGTCCCTGGACATCCAAAACTGTCCGTGAAGCACGAACTGACCCTGTGTCACGAAGGGGTTAATTGACGAGCGGCTCACGTGAGCTTCTTCAAGTACTACCAGTACCTCCTTTAATTTTTTTCCCTTCCAAGAATTTCTCAGCAGTCTAGTAACTACTAAGGAACCACTATATCAGATGCTTCTATTTTATCTACCATGTATTATGTAAATGTAATCCATGGGTATTCTCCATACCTTAATATTGCCCTCAGTTACACTGAAAACAGTTATAACAGCCACTGTTGCACGTTGTACAACCTTAAGGTCGTGGGTTGGAATCCCTTGGGAAAGACACTTTAACTTTAACACGAATTTTCCTCGCTTCACCCAGGTGGGAATGGAAACCAGCAATAGACAGTGAAAGATCATGTCAGTTTGTTAGAGTTTGAGCGCATAATCAGCTGCTTGCACTGCATTTTTCCCTGGAAGCTGAGAATGTTTCTGACTATTCTATGATCTGCTGGGGTAATAATATACATGTAGTGAAAAGCGCATTGAGCTTGCTGTTGAGCGGGGGTAAGCGCTATGCTATTTATTATTATTATTATAATTTTATTATTATTATTATTGTTATTATCATTATTATTCTATCTCTCCCCAGATATTTGGCTTTGTGGGCGTGTTGGGTGTGTCGTGTATGTGCTCCTTCCTTTTTCATCTGGCCGTGGAGTCTCCGATGGTGGAGCTGGAGAAGACTTTTCTCAAGAAGCATTGATGCTGTTGGGACATCGGTGCATACTTTGGTTGTTTTTGTTTTTAAAAATTTATCTTTGTGTTTATAGGAGATACTATTGATTGCTTCCTGGGATTTATATGTTTGTTTGTTGTTGTTGTTGGGTTGTTTTTTTTTGGGGGGGGGTTGTTTTTGGGGGAGGGGGAATGATTGGTTGTTTAGATTGTTGTTGATTTTTATGGGGGGGGGGGAGTTGGGGGGGGGGGGGGGGGGGGGGGGGGGTTAGTTTGTTTGCTAGTTAGTTTTTGGACGTCGCTAAAAACAACAAGAATATAATGGTAGTGGTGTCTCACGTGTATCTGCGCCTTCCTTTTTCATCAGCCTGTCGAAACTCAAAACACCGATGGTCAAGCTAGACAAGGTCTTTTTAGGCAAGCATTGGTTGATGATGTTGGGACATCGGTGGATCTGAACGGTTAATTGTCCGCAAGGGAGGGGGGGGGAGGTAATTGTTTCTCTTCTGTTTATTCTTTTAATTTCTCTGTGTCTGTGTTTATAACACAGGATTTATATTATTGATCGTTTTCTGGGTAAAAAAAAGGAGAGGATAAGGACAGTGGATGTTTGATAGGACAGAAGGAGCTAACAACACAAGAGCCCCGCCAACCACCTAAAAATGTAACCATTGTCTCATAATTGGTCGCTTTTAAGCCCAAGGGGGCTATCGCGAAAAATGCTGTTCTAAGAAAATCAAATGTTAAGTTTTTGTCCCTTGTTCAGTTTCTTTAAAATGCAAGAAGAGTTTTCTCTATAACTAAACAAATATACACACCAATGGAACCAAACTTCTCCTATAGGTAGGGCAATTCCCACTTTTGGTGTAGGTCCAGATTTCTGGAAATCCCCGAAATCTGGGTTAGCCTGCTTGTCCGTAAAAGCGGCCAATTAAACTCGCAGCTGCTGTTGGTACTTGGTACCGCAGTTCTATTTTGTTACCTCTCTTAGACAACTGAGGGGAAGGGTCTCAATGCAACAAAAACAAGAACGCTACCCCCCAAAAATTTTTAAAAAAAAATAATAATAAATAAATAAATAATATTAAACACACACCCACGTCTCATCCTTACATTTTAGAGGAAATAGGACGCTTAACACACAAAAGTATGAACGTAAATCTGTTTTAATATTTGCAGAATACAAAGTGCAACAAGTTATATATGAATCTCATGTAATCATGTCAACTGAATATATTATCACATTGGAATAAGTATATATATATATATATATAATATATAATCTATAGAAAAATCTAACATTTACAATTAAAAAAACTAGTAAGCATGCATAAATATACATTATTATTACATGCATTAACTTGAAGGAACTCAAATGCTTCTTATATGTTACGCCTCCCCATACATTTATTAAGATTATTAAGGAGGCGGGCTGTTTGACCCTGTCTGTTAGTGTAATGAACAAATTCGAGACTTAGAAAAGACAAAAACCGTACCTATATATATGCAAGTGGATGGAAATACTTCAAGAAAATCATCCCCACACAGAAATTGTCCGGGGGGGTTATTGTTTCTCTTCTGTTTAATTTTTTAAATTTCTCTGTGTTTATAGTATAGGATCTTTACTATTGATCGTTTCCTCGGTCAAAAATAAGAAGAAGATAAGGACGGTAGATGTTTGATAGGACAGAAAGAGCAAACCACACAAGAGCACCCGCCAACCATCTAAAATTGTTACAATTTTCTCATAAAATTAAACTTGCGACTGCGGTTCCCTTGAGTTGAATACTTGAATACTTGAAATGTAGAATTGGGGTCCCAGGAAGACGTGGTGTTCCATGCTTCTTCTTCTCTCAACTTCAAGGGTCCATTTCAGTGTGGCCTCCCCTCTCTTAAATAAAACCCTATCCACACGTCGTGTTTTTGCTATCGTATCCATACGACGTGGGGAACTCTGAGCCACCACTTTCCAAAGAGGAAATTTACTCGTTAATCCGATCCGTATGCTTTGCACACCACCAGTCTGTCAAAATGATTTTTTGAGAAATACTGAATATTTCAAAGAAATCTTCGCACTAGAAGTATTCTAAAATGTGAAGAATACAACCCCTGGGGTACAAATGACCCGAGGCGTATGGATAGGGTTAATAAGGGTCCATATCAGTGTGGGCAGGCTCATTGCCTCCATCATCAGTTTACTTAATTGGTCGCTTTTAAGCACAAGGGGGCTATCCCGAAAAATGTTTTTTGAGAAAATCGAAGGTAAAGTTTTTGCCCCTTGTTTAGTTTCTTTAAAAGACAAGGAGAGTTTTGTCTATAACCAAACAAATATACACATCAATGAAACCAAACTTCTCCAATAGGTAGGATAAAGCCCAGTTTTGGTGTAGGTCAAGAATTCTGGAAACCCCCGAAACTTTTGTTAGCCCGCTTGTCCTTAAAAGTGACCAATTAAACCCCTTGAGTGTGACGGCAAAGAGCAAGACTAACCTATTACACCACAAACGTCGGTGAACTGAATCAGCACCGGTGCTGAGCGATACACAGTCAGCAGCAGTTTGATTTTGTCTGTTCCCGTCGTTTTATGCAAGAAAAATTCTGAAATTATGCAAACTGAGCCCAAAATTGTGAAATTACGCTACTCTGTTGTTGTTTTTGTTGTTGTTGTTGTTTTAAACAAAGAATGAAAAAGGAAAATTATCAGAAATTATGCAAAAAATGATCAAATTTTGCTAAATTATGCGGGGTGCATAAAACCACAGGGACAGTTATGTTCAGAATGGAACAAAACTTTTGCTGCTGGGTTCCTTTTAAAAAAAAAAAATCTTTCTTATTAAAGCAAAAGCAAAAATACATGTCTAATCATCATATGGGGAATCAACAATATAATAACAACCAACTACAACAGCTCAAGCCTGCAGCACTTCGATTATGTTCCAACTCGAACTAGGATTTAATTTGCTATTGGGTTCCTTTTTAACAAAATATTTCTTTTTATTAAAGCAAAACAAAAATGCAACATTTTCATGTATAATCATGCGTGTAATAAACAATGTAATAACAACAACAGCAACAGCAACAACAACAACTCAAGCCAGCAGCACCATATCAATAAGTTCAGACTCGAACCAGAATAGTTATAAATGGGGTATTCTTTTTTTTACCTTTTTAAAAAAAATTTAGTATTAAAAAACCCCCAAAACAATGAAGTTATTCATAATCAACATATTATTACAAGGGAATCACACAAAGTCAGACTGACTTGTTAAAAACTCAAATCAGAATTGTTTTCCGGTGTCATTTTGTTTTCTTTCTGTCTCGTTTTTTAAGTGCCATAACACTTTAATATAGTCATATTCAACAATGTGTCAATGACCAATTTTTAGATCTAGCCTGAATTGTTTTGTTTTTGGGATTTTGGGTGGGGGGG